TTGCAATGCCAAGAGGTGAATTTTGCTACAGAAAATACTTTGATAATCTCAATATACTGTAGTAGTAACAATAATAATATCAGCCCTTTGTCAATATACTGCCTGGCTAGTTAAGGGAGTTAGTTGGCCATACTTCACCGCACTGGTCAATCAGTTCGGGTTGGTGAAGGGGGCACCCAGGTCTTTTTCAGATGCACTGATCCGTGGCTTATAACTATACTACCAGTGATTAGTTGTATCGCGCAGTGTGTGAACCAATGTACCACCAAGCCACCCCGATGCTTCATATTCAGTGTAGTACTTGTCCTCTAATAATATCTTCCCAAACACGCAAGTCACTTTCCGATATAAACTAGCAACAATGAGCTGAGGCACAAAAGGTCATAAACATATGGAATTGTAAGGACGACTACTTTTAAAGGAAGATGTAACCCAACAAAACAAACATCTCTTATCTTTGATATACACACATAAACTTTGTGTCTAGGGCCGACCAACTGGTTTCAAAACTGTGGAATGCATATGAATACATATATTAGTTTATTAAAATTGAAATGCAAGTACTGTACTATATTCAATGTTTAAGGTGCCCGAGTGGAAATAAAATATTAGTATCATGCCACTAGATGGCAACATTACAACTTTGTTTTAGTGCTTCACATTCAGTTGATAAACAAAATGTTACAAGTATGAGATTTAAAGATTTTAAAGAAATACTGGCAGTATAAATATTACAACTATTACAATTGCACTTTAAACTTAGCAACTTGAGTTTAATTAACATCAGTGGCGATATCTGAACCAGTTCTGGGCTCCAACGCTGAATACTAATTGTGATGAAACACGGTCCAAACCCCCTCTCCCCCCCCCAAAGACTGACTTAGTAAGAGGAGGGCTTCATCCAGAAGTGGACTGATAAAGCACTGCAAACAATTTATGCAGTATAATATCATCTGGTCCTTAGCCACGAGATGGCATACAGCAATAGAATCTGAATCCATATTTGCGGGGCTTTTCCTGTTGTCCTCTCGTCCAACGTTTTTTTCCCCCCGTACTGTAGATGCCTCCCTCAAGTCACACACCCGTGAATGGAATTGGCCAAACATCCCAGTGTAGAACCCTCATGAAAAGAAAGTCTTGAGACTCAGCGAGGCAGTCACTGTGGGTTGGTGAAGGTGGGAGCATAGAATAATTGAAGTACAGCACAATAGGTTGCTGGCTCATTGGGGGCACAAATCATACATTAATTGGAGGGCCCATCCCCTGTACGAATGTATAAACAACTTGTGAGTTATTCTTTGGTTCTATCAGTAAAGTCACGTAGATATTTAAAAAAAATATCTCGTGAGATAACAAAATACATGTAGACACGAGACGTCGGCATATGAAGAAACAAGAGATACGACAGGCGAGACAAATACGAAAGATGAAGACAAATATGGATTAGATTAAATGAGATACAAACAAGATCTGAATGACATGACTTAGCTTTCTTCGTGTGCATTATCTTTTTATGTTTATTGGAATTTAAATTTGTACCTATTTGCTTCACCTCAATTTTCTTTTTATTCCGAGGTTACTTAAGCTTTTTCAGGCCATATTTTATTCTACATATGGCCTCTTTCGTGGATGGCAGTGGTGTAAATGTAGCCTTGATGTGGAAGGTGATACCGTAATGCAAACATTCAGAATGTGTAATTATTTTAAATTTCATTGTACGGTTCTGTAGCCAAGGAAGCGCCCTCTAGTGGCTGGAGTGGTCACGCGATTTCCGTTATATTAAACATCTGCAATGTGATATGCAATCCAAAATGGATATTACTCTAAATTTTGACTTAAAACTTTCGTGATTGCAGGAATTAATATTCTTTGCGAAGTCAACAGGACATTAATCGAATGGTCCTTACATTATAGAGTACTGTTGTCCATATAAATGACTCTACGCGAATACACCTTCTCAGTTTATTCATTTGGTTTATATCTTGCGGTCCGATCTGCTTTCACGTTGAGTTCTATTCCAGGTTTGCTAGTCACAATGAGGGCTTCATAAGAGTTCGTGAATGCAATGCATATATTATCAGTGTGTTTTTTGTTTGCATTTTGACCTTAAGTATTGTGGTAAACGCACACATGATTCCTTGTAAAAAGGTTTCAGTTTTGTTTCCAGAAAAAGGGGAAACCCCCTATTATATTTTGGTACTGGCAAAGGAGGTCTAATGATGTAGATGCTCACCCCGAGCCCTCATTACTCTGATAGTGGCATTGTCTTTGAGCTGTGTGACGCCTTTTGGTGTCCTCTGGTCTAGCACCAATTGAGACGAGGCTCTAAAGAAAGCCGTCTCTGGTGTGAACCAATCAGTTTCAAAGACAATGCATATATTTTTGATTTAAAGCTTTCGTGACTGCAGTGATTCATATTCTTGGTTATTTCGGTAAAGTCACGTTGAAGGGAAACAATAAAATATATAATACAATAAAATTCTCACATTGTTTCCCTTCAACGTGACTTTAACGAAAGAACCAAGAATATAATGCATATATTATCAGTGTTTTTTGTTTGCATTTTGACCATAAGTATTGTGGCTAATGCAAACATGATTCCTCGTAAGGTTTCAGTTTTGTTGCCAGGAAAAAGGGGAAAACCCTATTATTATATTTTGGTACTGGCAAAGGAGGTCTAATGATGTAGATGCTCACCCCGAGCCCTCATTACTTTGATAGTGGCATTGTCTTTGAGCTGTACGCCTTTTGGCGTCCTCTGGTCTAGCACCAATTGAGACGAGGCTCTAAAGAAAGCCGTCTCTGGTGTGAACCAATCAGTTTCAAAGACAATGCATATATTATCAGTGTTTTTTTTTTGCATTTTGACCATAAGTATTGTGGTTAATGCAGACATGATTCCTCGTTAAAAGGTTTCAGTTTTGTTGCCAGAAAAAAGTGGAAAACCCCTATTATTAAGAGTTCGTGAAGTTTTGATGTTCCTCCGGTGAAGGCGAGCAAACTAGTGCTTAACTATAATACGGTTCCATAGTTTGAGGTGCATGGCCACAATCGCACCGTGACTTTTTCGGTCATGTATGTCACTTATGTCTCTATGGGTATCTGTGTACATGTCTTGTCTTTTGAATTTACTAATTTTGTGCTGTAAGTTGAACTTATTTCGCACCGTACGTAGCAAACCGTGCCGATCGGAGGCGGGGGGAAAACTAAACACAAAAAGCTATTATAAAGAAATTAGTTTTCAATGTATTGAGGGACTGTATGTTGTCCTGGTTTGGTTTGGGACTTTTCGTTATTTTGCTGCCTTACCCACGCTTGCATTTAGTGCAGAAAAATGTACTCATGTGATTCCAACTTATTCATTTAATTTTAGTAACTTGCTTACCTTTCCTATAGTTTGCACGCCTATAATTTTTGTAGTTTGTTATTCTAGCGTTCTGACCCGCCCCTATTGGGGCGCGCCTGTGGAAAAAGAGCTTCATAGCTCATCGGATTTCTCCAGAATAGACAAGATTCTCAATCTGAAATGTTCTCAACTGTGTGGGTTGTATGGCCCAGGCGTCGGCAACCTACATAACAAGATCTATGTTGTTCGAATTCGGTAAACAAAAAAAACCCCAACTCGATATTTCAAGAGCCGCAATGCATGTGAAAACGAGTACGATGGGTCTTTTTAACATTCGTCACGAGGCAGTCCCTTGTAAAGAGACGCAGCCGCATGTTGCCAACCCCTGGTCATGGCCCGGCACGGATTTCTCCAGGATAGAAGAATTTGATTCTGAACTGGTCCCAGAGTGTAGGTTTATTGCATGGCCCAACAAGCCAGCCAAGCACCCCCCCGACCCCCGTGGTAACATGGCCGCCGTGTAAGGCGTGCCCCCCCCACCACCACAACCTTCAATATCTCGATAAGCGACACAATCCGACTTCCCCCCATGAAGTAACCCAAAACATTTCAACGACGTACAGATGCGCAGCGACGGCAACCCAATTTAATAAACACTTTTGTTTAAAAATTTTGATTTAAAGCTTTCATGACTGCAGTAATTCATAGTCTTAGCTCTTTCGGTAAAGTCACGTTGAAGGGAACGCGACTTCCGGTCACTGCTCCCTCGCGTTGCGTCATATCCGGTAAACCACGTGATTTGGCCTCTCCGCCAATGAGGGCGGTCATAAGTCGCGCCGCCATGTTGCTAAGGGGTTAAGCGAAAACCGCACTCCGTAACTGATCCCGACGTCGTTTGCGTTTTGCCTTGACCGCCTGCAAAGCGTCAAATTGTCGTCGTTGCTTCGACAAGAAAGAGGTGGGGGAGGGGGGGGGTTGTGTGGGGGGTAGTGGGGGGCCCGCTTGACGTGATGTTATCGCCCGCCCTCCTGTGGCCGTTTTAATGGCAAACGCCGCGCAGTCTCCCTACCCAACATGGCGGGGATCCTCCCCCCACCACCTACCACCACCCCCCGCGTCAATGCGGATGAGGAGACGCGGTCACGAAGCGCATCACGTGGCGCTGCATTGACCAATCGAGTTGAGTCGAGGCGGAGGAGTGAGTGGTGAGAGGGAGGAGCCGCCCGTGCTAAGAGGCGGGGGAGGAGGCAGAGAGGGAGGAGCCCCCCGTGCAGAGAGGCGGGGGAGGAGGAACAGAGGGGAGGAGCCCCCCGTGCTAAGAGGCGGGGGAGTGAGTGGAGAGAGGGAGGAGCCCCCCGTGCAGAGAGGCGGGGGAGGAGGAACAGAGGGGAGGAGCCCCCCGTGCTAAGAGGCGGGGGAGTGAGTGGAGAGAGGGAGGAGCCCCCCGTGCTAAGAGGCGGGGGAGGAGGAAGAGAGGGAGGAGCCCCCCGTGCAGAGAGGCGGGGGAGGAGGAACAGAGGGGAGGAGCCCCCCGTGCTAAGAGGCGGGGGAGGAGGAAGAGAGGGAGGAGCCCCCCGTGCAGAGAGGCGGGGGAGGAGGAACAGAGGGAGGAGCCCCCCGTGCTGTGGGCTCCCCCCCCTCGGACCTGCCCCGTGTGTTTCACGACCCCCCCCCCCCCCCGACTTCAATCTCGGCCGCCTCTCGCTTCGTGTCGCCCCCCACCCCATCACCCGGACACCCATGGCCGGCCGCTCCCCTTAGAAGAAGCCCCAGGGTCCGGGCGCTCCGGGACTGGGAAGGGCGAGGAGTCAGCACCACCCCCGCCACCACCCTCCACCCCCACACCAACACGAGCCATGCGGAGCAGCTGAAGAGCACCCGAGGCTTCGGGCAGGACAATCGCGAAGGAGGCTCGCTTCCCCCGGCGACGGGGTAGGCGGCCGGGCCGTGCCGGGTTAGGGCTTGGGGAGGAAGAGGCGAGGAGGTGGCGGGGGCGGCGGGGGAGAAGAAACGGAGAGCCGGTGGAGCAGGAAGAGAGCGAAGCGGGGGAAGTTGTCTTGAGGAGGTGCTGCAATTACGGGGACGAGTGAAAGGAATTGGGGGTATGTGGGGGGGAGGGTGGTGAGTATAGGAAAAGGTGCGAGGAATAACGAGGAGAGAACGAAGAGGACGATAGGAAGAGGTGCAACGGGCGGATAGGAAGAGTGAAGGGGGGTTGCGTTGGTGAGGTGAGGTGGGGGGAAGCCTTCGAAGGGTCGTGAGGAGCAAAGGAGCACTTTGGCCATGGAGCGTGTGGACATCCTGAGGAAGCTGGTGGCCCGGGTCGCCTCTCTGCGAGACGTGGACGCGTACGGGGAGGACGGCTTCGCGGAGGAGTTCGCGGTGAGAGAAGGAGACCGTGACCCCCCACCCACCCACCCACCCCGTCTTCTTATTCTTCTTCTTCTGCATCGTCACCTTTTTTCTTATCAGTGGCAGCTAACGTTTTCCCTCAAGTCGCCGGTGTTTCTCAACATTGCAATGTCTTTTTTTTTATCTCTCTCTCCCCTTCCACTCGCCGTGCTTTTCGTTGCCTGTTAACAATTCTCTGCCGCCCGCGTTTTCTCTCCTTAACCCTCAATGCGTTTTGCGGCGCTGCCCGATGCCAAGTCAACAACGTGCCTCTGTCATGAACGATATTCCTGATTTAGCCTTGGCATTTAGTTATCCAAATCTTAAATAATGTGTCGATACATTACGAACGTTGAATAGAGAAAAATAGCTGGCGTGTCTTTTCCTTTGGCTTTGTTTTGAACTTTGTATGTTTTTCTTTTTGGTTAAATCTGTTCAATTTGTATCCGTTCGTGAATGCATTACGGATCATATATGTCATGTTTTACCACGACTAACGGCATAATTTTTTTAACAAAAAATGTAAACATATCAGAGGAAAACTTAGCGAGATGAACGAGTTTTTAACTGCACGCTCTAGAGTTTAGAACGTGCCAATTTTCGGAATGTCGAGCTTGTAATGTTATCGTCCCAAGCAAGGACATGATATTATAACGCTTGGAATTACATTGAGAGACAGAGAGAGGAGTCGTGTGGTATCGGACAAACATGTTAATGGCAGATATCAACTTAAATTTTGATTTAAAGCTTTCGTGACTGCAGTAATTCATATTCTTAGTTTTTTCGGTAAAGTCACGTTGAAGAGAAACAACAAAATAACAAAATATATATATTTTTTTTATTGTTTTATATATATTTTGTTATTTTGTTGTTTCTCTTCAACGTGACTTTACCGAAAAAACTAAGAATAAGATATCAACTTGTTTACAAGCGTGGGCTTGGTCGTCAGCACTTGTCGCTAAGAAGGAATGATGCTCGATAGTCGAGAATAATCACGGAGTGGCAGCCAAGGAATGGAATGCAGACAAGAGGACGTCCACCGATTTCATGAAATCGGCTGGTGTGTAGGTGCGAGGTGTGAGATGGAAACAGCTTGGGAGAGCCGTTAATCAAGCAGTGGATTGGTTATGACTGCTACTTGATTTTGTATATATATTTGTTTAAGCCAGGCATCCCTTGAAAAAAAAGGCTTATTCTCAATGTGGTTTTCACATGGTTGTAAATAAAATATGAGATAATGGATCATTCTATATACCTTACAACTACACGAATGCCCTCTGAGTCTGCAATTTCCTTAAGCAAGGGAGAGCTGGGACTAACACCGAAATGCAACAATTGCAAGCTACAAATACAGCACAGACCAACAACATTGCCCACAGTCCACGTGAAAATAAATACGATTGTGTTGAGGGATTATATTGCAGAACTGACAATCATAATGTAACATTTTTATGCATGTAATCTTGAGCGTTATTTGTTGATTTAATTTACATCAGTTGTCTGCCACAGGGCAACTTCTTGAGTAGGTATCAGTAAAAAGTTAAGCCTCTGTTTTGGCCAGCTTCCGCGTTAGAATAATGAGATGCTAGTTTGCCGTCTGACTGCATGATTTATGGTCTAATTGGCCGTGATTAATTATCTGTGTACCTTTGTGGTACCCGCAGTCTAGGCCTGCCCCTTTTATTAGAATGCTGAACCACTTTACAAATTAAGTATTGGTGCACAGAGGCAGATTGGCAACATATCAGCACATCAGCAGCTGTCAAACTTGTCGGCTCTAAGAATTGTAAGTCAAATCATGGGACTTTTGATCAAAAGCACTGGACTGTCATCCCGGACACGATCCCATATTTTTGACCAAAGGCTAAGCGATAGCACAAACATTGTATGCCAAACATAAACCTAAAGCACTGACCACTACTAACCCACATTAATTAATGACAGGTACAAAGCAGGGTTAATGCCTATCACATTCAGTGATAAAACCGACAAACTGATCACCTGTAAACCGTAACTCTTAAACACAATACCGGTACCCTGAACGTATAACCTTTATTATTACACGTTAGTTCAATAACTATTTCATAAATAATGTAGGGCTAAAGCTACTGTGTAGGTTTTGGTAGTTTTGCTGTATAAATTTCAGGAAGAAGCTTTCAGCACGTGGATTAAAACATGAGACATTATGCGGTAACAATTCGAAAACGCATCGGAGAATTTACGGTCAAAGGTAATTGATTGTACATCTAGGGAGGGCCGGTGGTTTAGGCCACTACTAGATGAGGGCCTTCCCATATAATGTGGGTCATAGAGAATGTTTGTATATATATGCCGGGTTGTGTAGGTTGGCTAAGGTAGGGATCATAGACGTGGCAGCATAGAAGTACATTACAATAATGGATTTTGCTGCACTGCCCTCGGCTGTCCACTCTGCAGTCATGGAATTTATAGCCTATAAGACCTGTCGTGCATGGTTTGTCTCTCATCCAAGAAAGATCCAGGCTCAGATGTGCTTAACTCCTGAGATCTGACAAAATCGGGCACATTCCAGATGAAAAATATGGCCAAAGTAAATTTCTTATGGCCTGTGTAGAATGCACGGGCAATGATGTTTACATGTTGCACGATGCCATATAGCTAGCTGCCCGATGGCTGCTGTTTCAGTGGTGTGCGTGCGGTTTTGGCTGAAAACGGGCTGCTGTCACCGCTAAGGGATGGGCCCAGTGATGCCTCGGGCTCTGCATGTGTACTCGCTGGATTTTGCACATATTTAGGCTAAATACGCCCCACATACTTAGCGGTTACCGTCTGCCCGTAGCTGCTGCCTTTTGCCGTTAAATTCCAAGCTTCGCCTCCAACCGCTATAGTTTGTTGCATGCTTTCTTGCTCTGCTTCCAATTATTTTTTTTTAACAGTGAATTGCGCATTTCAGTGAATAATGTCACTCAATATTATGCCGGTCAGCATTTATGGGTTTTTTTTTCTGCAGTGTGTTATTGGCAGTGTTATTCCACGTGGAATAAGAATATCGTGGAGACTTGTCAGTAATATTCCCTTTCTGCGTCAGGTTTTTGTGCCTACAACTACCACAATTGCTCAGCTTTTCATAAAAAAGCAACCCATCATCTTTGAGTCTCTATCAATACACCTAATCTTTAATCCAAGGGCAACCCTCAATTCAACTTGATACCTTGAAAATCTTAACGATTTGTTTGTCATTCCAAGTACAACATAATTTCGACAGACTGCTCCAGTTGAAAACCCATGGGTGGAATTTATTTTTCTTCACTTGGCGTTTGCAATATTTATGCTCTAATAGGTTAATCTTAATATGATTCTGAATTAAATCCATTCCTTGAATAATATTTATTTGTGTTTGCCAAGCCAGTTCTGTTGCATGTGTTAATGCACAATGCAAAATTAATGACTGCACCAATTAACCACTAGCTGTTTTACATAACATAAATAGTAAAAAGAACGGGCATGTTAGGATGACCTTGGATAATTGCCTGACCTGCTTCAGGACCTTTTAGGACTTGGATAATGCAATTTTCCAGAATATTTACCCATTAAAATATATGAAATTTAGCAACAACCTCAATTAACACGTTTATTTTTTGTATTTCATATCGATGCTTCATTTTGCTAATTCATATGTTATTTAGAAAGGTCTGTGTATTCGCTGCTAAATTAGACCGAATCTGTCTCAAATGCGGCTTTGCCCGGTAATGTGTTGGCAGGCGGCGGTATCAAAGGGTGTGCTGTCCTTCGCAGAGACGTTAAGATGTCCATTGCAGTTTGCTGGTCCTCGACGTTTATTATATGCCACGGGATCTTCGTCAAAAGTAGGCCATTGTGTTCTGGAGTCACGGCCAATTAAAAGATGGCAATAAATCATTTACTGGAACAAAGCAGTACTTCTGTATTAAGATGGCATTTGCAGCATCGTGGAATTAATCTGGGGTTGCAGTAGCTAAAATAAATAAAAGCACATTTTCTCCAGCGGTTCGCTAAGGATGCACTTTCGTCGGGGCGGTGCTGAAATAAGTGGCGTGGCCCCGCCACACTGCCAGACATATTGTATTATTTAACGACAAACAGCGCGGCACTGTTTAGCGCCAGGCATATGACTTCTGATCCATTTTCAGCGCTTCGTTGTAAACAAAAAAAAATCTTGTTTATGAGGTCACGTAAGCACAGCGAAGCATACGTACGTACATACGTGCTTTCTTGTGTGTTTAAAGCACATGTGAAAGTGTCCTCAGTAATTCAAGCTAACTTCCACAAATGTATACTGTATACAATGAGATCATCATCAGTTAATTTAACAAAAAAATATTTACTATAAGTTGCAGACATCTATTAACTAACTAGATATTTCTAACTGCAGATCTTTATACTAACTTATTGACTTAAAGCTTTCGTGACTGCAGAAATGCATATTCTTTGGGTCTTTCGGTAAGGCCATTAACTAGGTATTACAAAACGGATATTAAATGTCATAACAAGGTATGGTTTTGGGAACCAGGTCTCCCTTGAAAAAGAGACGTTTAGACTCAATGGGTTCCCATCTGATCGCTTACATAAATAATCTGAAGATATGTTGATTCACCAAACAATAACAGTTATTACACTCACTATACGTGGATTCAATCATGCATGTGGTAATCAGGAATTATGTATTCAAGTCCTATGGAAACATTTTGCTAATGTTATATGTTGCCTTAAGAAGTGAACAAATTGTATAAACAAAGCAGAAAAAAATCTGAGCAATACATACGAGGTGGTTATAATTTGACAAGATGATCAATTCTTGAAGCAAATCATGACCCATAATCCTGATAATGGCATTGCGTTTCAGGGGTGGGGGAATCAAACCTGCTACCTACCATCCTTTTCCCTTGGCTTAATTTTGCTAAGTGGAGAGCTTTCAGATGTAAAATATGGATATGCTCTAAAAAAGGTACAGCCTTTGCTGTAAGAGCCGTGTC